TCTTTTGGAGTCTATTCATATTAATTTTTTGTTATAGTAATAAACTTGTCTTCTTTGAGCATTGAGGCAATCTTCTTCATTCTTGAAATATATTAATGCAATACTTCTTCTGTTACCATTACTGTTACAAGGAATGTATACTGCTTTGGTCTTGATCAGTTTGAGCTAACAGAAAAGTGAAGACTCTAGTGTATTGGAAGGAAGATCTTGTAGTCTGGCTACCCATTTCCTTCTGTTACTTAGCTCTGTTTTGTCAAAATAACTAGGAGTTAATCAGCACATACTTCCTTCTTCAAAGTGTACTATCCAACTTTCTTGAAGTACTTTAAATCTTTCTTGATTTCAACAGGTAATTTGAATATAGGCTGCTTTGAACTTCTTGCTTTCTTGATGAGCATTTTTCTATTCAAAAACTTTTGTTCTACCATAGAAATTAAGGTTTTTCCTTACTCTACTAGCCCATATATCTTCTAGTAGATCTCATAGAGTTAACTTACATTCTGGTTTTAGACTTCGGGTTGCTTCTTCTTCTGCTGGATTCTTAAGTATTTCTTCTTTTAGTATTGCTTCTTTCTTTAGTGATTTCTCTTTGGGTCTGTTCTCTGATACCCAGATTGAATTGTTAATATCTTTTAGTATCTATCTAGATCTATATATATCATCATGCACAATATTGTATTTCTTTTTCTTCTCTTTTCTAGGTGGGACTTTTATTGTTCTTTTGCTATATCTTAATAGTACAAGATCTTTTGTCTTTTTGGTTTCTTCGTCATGAGTTTCATATTCTGCATATAGCAGAATTATCTCATCCTCTATCTTTTTATCATCTGAACTTTCTAAAATTTTTTTTTCTGATTTATTCAAAATTGCTTTAGCTACTTTGTCTATACTGCTGTCTTGTTATTTAGGCTCAGGTTCCTCTTTGTTTATTTCTTTAATATCTTCTATAACTGTATATTTTCTTTTCTGAGTTGTTTCATGAATAACTAGTTAGGTTGTAGATTCTTCTACTTCTATTTTAGTCTGAAATAGTGAAGATTTTCTCTTTTCTACCTTCGGTTCTAATAAAGTATTCTCTTTTTCTTGAAGTCTTTTTTTAGCATGATCTTCCAAGTTTATTGTTTTAGTTTTTGAATTGATACCTACTAATTCTTGGTCTTCTGCATTTAGTTTTTCTCCTTTGAAGTACTTTTGAAAAGCTGTTTTGTGGTTCTCTAATGCTATTTGTATAAATGATACAAATTCTGGGTCTTCCAATTCCAGAAAATTTGCCATACTTCTACTTATTTAAAGAATAAATCTTTTCTGCATCTTACATATTTCCTGTCTTTGTTCTATTGATAATACAAAAACACCTTTAATCTTCTTTAAGGATGTTATTTTAATACTGAGTTTAAATTTAAATTTAAATTTTTTCTTTTGTTAAGCTAAATTCTAAATTCTAAATCTGTTGCTTTAGATTCTATTTCTACTATACTAGGTTTTCTAGAACAATCTAATTTAATTGCAGTTAACTAACACGTCTGCTGATTGTATTGTTGTTGTTATTATTCACGTGTAGTGTTTGTTGTTTGATATCTTGTTCTATCTAAAAGTAGTAACATGATCTATCATTTATTGTTTGTTTGTTTGACTGATCTTACGTATTTGTTTTGTTGTTGATATTTACGTGTTACTAAAATCAGATTTTCAGGGTCTAGGTGAATTTTCAAAATTTTCCAAAAATTTTCTAAAAATTTTCGAAAGTTTTTTATAAGAAACTATTTTAATAAACTAAAGGTAAATTTTAGTGTTCTTTCTTTTTTCTTAGTAGAAGAAACCTTGTTTCTTATACTAGTTTTTAAGTAAAATGTAATTTTAGCCTTGAGTCAATTAAAATTTTGTTGTAAATTGTAGATTAGCAGAAAGAGATTAACTAAAATTATAAACTAAATATAATTTAAATTGAGTGACCATCGAATTAAAAAAAATAATATTAATAACTAATATTTATTTAAGATAAGTAAACCAAATAAAAACCAATATTAAGTAAAAATACTTTATTAACCAAATTACTAAAATATTAATCAAAAAAAGATCTTTTAAAAAGATTTGTTAAAAAAATACTAAAAGTAAAAAATACTATATAAATAGATTTAAAAAATATTAAGATTTAGATAAATTCTGCAAAAGCTAAACAATAGTAATAGTTTAATAATTAGCTTTAATTACAAGTAGTAATTTTAAACTATATGCAAGTTGTTTACTTAAATAATATATAAAATTGTAATATAGATAGCTTTTGTAGTAATATTTTAAAATAAATTAATTCTAAAGCAATTAGTAATAATTTAATAAAAATATTAGTGAGGCTGCCAAAAATAAAAAAATAAAACATATAAATACTGTATATTATATAGTTAATAAAGAAAAGTTGTTTAATAAACTAATAATTTTTATTTAACTTTATATTATGCAGTTTAAAATATTTTTAGATTATATAATAAATTTATTCGTAATATGACTCTAGTTAAAAAAAATATAATATATACTTTTTTATTTGTTTAAAAATCTAGCTTAACAGTAGCTTGATTTATCTGTTTTTAAAAAGCTATTGCTATTTAGACAAATAAGAACTAAAATTCTTTTTAGCTATAGTTTTATAACTTGTAATAAAACTTTCTGCATCAACGGGCTTATTCTTTAGTTTTATTATTTTGTTTTTTTTTAAAAAAGTACGTACTTTAAACCGTATAAGTAATATAAAATTAAATATAAATTATTAGATGAACTTCTCTTGAAATATATACGTAGTAAAATTTAGTAAATACGGCTCATAAAGGAAATTACATAGTCCAAGATTTTTCTATAACCCTAATATATATCAACACTCGCTCCAACCTGTCAAAAGTGTTACATTGATAAAAGTTAAATTTTATTTATAAGATTTGATAGCATATCGATATACAAGCATACTTTCTTAATATGAATTACATCTATACAAGTTATATAGTATTTCTGTACAAGTGGTATAGCAATATATTAGATGTTCGGTCAATCAGACTATATTAAAATTTAATGATTCTAAAATGGCAGATTAGAAAATTCTAATATCAAAAAATTTGGTATCTCGTTAGCCTGTTGAAACATAAATGGTTTTATTATTTAATATAAATTGGATAAGATCGGTGAAATGAAGATTGAAGATCAGGGAAGACGAAATGCTGTTATGATGTCAATTACCAGTAATTCAGTAATGCTTCCAAAATTGTAAGAAACGTTCAAATAGTCATTAAGGAACTGGCCGATCAGGACTTGATCTGAAACTTGAATTTGAACTAAGTTTATTGAGATCCAAAATCGATTATGTAAAACGATGGCCAACCGAGTGTCGAACCTGAGAATAACGATGAGAGATCGGCAAGGTAATAAAATAAGTAATAGTTACGTACACTCATAACTATTTTTACTCATTTGTTCTTACATTTGCATTTTAAAATAAACATATTGTAGGCAATGATAAGTAATAAAATCAGCTCTTCCTATCTGCATGTTCTTTAAATACATTCGAAAATGCAAGCTTTAACAAAGTGATTTTGATCCCAGGTGTAGAGTTATACATATGTTGCTCTTTATCACTAGGGATGGCAAAAAAAAAGATTTCAATCAGGTAGCATTTAGTCTGATTATTTGTACGCGCATTAAATATATTTAAATCATAAACATCACCTGATTCATTTTTTTGCCATCTCTAGATATCACATTAAGTGTAATAAAATGTTAAATGGCTTAGATTATTCGCTATATCAGTGTAAATGATCGCCAAATGAAAACAAGGCAATCTTTTAAATGATTTTTAAATATGATTAGATCTGGCGATCTGAATCGAATCTGTTAATCGGGTAGATCTAACTCGACGTCGATCTACCGTATCCACCGCAGTAATCTTCTATTATGAAGTTGTGGCATTATTTGCTTATTCTATGTATGTATAACATAGGGAAAGAAATTGGACAGGTACTTATATATGAAATTTACTCCCTCTTAATGTATTAGTTCAATTTATCTAAAGCTTCTTAAACATGTAACTATTTGTAAATATACAAATTCTTAGCTTTATATGGTTATATTTGTTAATCAAATTCTTGCCGAAAAAGTCCACTGTCAAGAGCATCAATCTTTCAGGTTATTTCTTGCCATGATTTGATGATCAAAACACAAAAGCCTCGGAAGGCTGAGGATGAAATTTTTTATTTCATATCACCAAATATATATATATAATTTTCCTTTTGTTTTAAACCGAACGACGCGTTTTTAATCATGGATTCGATGCAATCGATTGATATAACTGAAGAAGAAAGTCACACTGAAAGAAGGTTATTAAAGAAAATTGACTGGAAAATTGTTCCTCTTGTAACCTTTCTTTATATGATAAGTTATCTAGATAGGTAAATCACTTGTGCTCATTGCATATGCAAAATTGAAATAAATATACATAATATATATAATACATGTAATATAAATTTTTTAAATAAGAATAAGTATCGGAAATGCAAAACTAGAACGTTTGGAAAACGATCTTGGGCTAATAGACAATCAATATAATTGGGCTTTATGTATTTTTTTTATGTGAGTTCAAACTGATATATGCTTAAATTATATCGTTTCCTAAAAATAAGAAAAAAAATTGATTGCGTTATTCACTATTCAATATAGTGGGCACATACTTTTCGAATTGCCATCAAATTTGATAGTATATAAAGTCCAGCAACGATTTTCTCTCTGGAGTAAGTTATTCTCGTTTGTTATTATTTCTTGGACTATTTTATACAGTATAATAATCAAAATGTTTTTCCGCCTTTCTTCTTTATATAGTTTCCGCGATTATGCTCTCTTGTGGAATAACAATGATACTTACGATTTTTGTAAGCAAGAGTATTAATCTAATGCACTTTTTTTTCATTTTGAAAACTCAAATTTTACACGATTTACTCGTTTAGGTAAAAAACTTCGTTACAATAATGATCGCCCGTTTCTTTTTAGGCGTTTTTGAGGCAGGCTTAATTCCTGGAACAATATATTATATTTCAATTTGGTATAAACGTTCAGAACAAAATTTTAGGGTGGCCGCAGTCCTTTCAGGTCCTACATTTGCTGGTGCGTTAAGTGGATTATTATCGTATGCAATTATTAGTTTGTTAGATAGTAAAGCTGGGCTGAGTGGTTGGCAATGGGTATGTATGCCAGTACATAACTATTATGTCTTTATAATTATTATATTTAACCTGTAACGATAATGATATTCTTTTAGATATTTTTAATGTGTGGTCTAGTTACAATTATAGTTTCTATTATTGCATATTTTTTAATTTCTGATTCTGTGGAAGACGCCAAATGGCTTAACAAAGAAGATCGAAACCGTATTAGCTTAAGAGTTGGACGTGACGAGTTATCATATACTGTCTCTCATTCTTCTGAAATATCTGAATCAATAAGTCAAACTCTTGTATTAGAATGTCTGAAAGATTGGGTATTTATTATATTTATTAAATCAGGTGTCGTTTTATTCTTTCTCTTTTGCTTATATACATTTATTCATTTAGAAAGTATTTGTATCGATGTTAATATTTTGCGGGGTTTCGGTTGCAACCTATTCCTTTTCGCTTTTCATTCCTTCAATTATTAATGGATTCGGTTTTAACGAAGGCAAGCGCAATAAATTAAATAAATTAAATATTTATATTTTGGCGAGTATTAACTATATGCTTGTATATACTATATCTATATAGTATTATCTCAACTGCTAGTTGTACCACCCTTCATGCTTGGATGTATTTCAGAAATAGGAGTGGCATTTATATCAAATCGATTGAATCTTCGTGGTCCTTTTGTGATATTATTTGCAACGATTGGAATTTTTGGTTACGCGATCGTCACAACAGCGCAAAATGGCGCAATTTGTTAGTATATTTTCTTATTTTTTAATTGTTGAAAATCAGTTTTTTTTTCCTGAAAAAAAAAAATTCTTTAAGTTAAATATATAGGAACTTGGCTTATCGCAATAGGTGCGTTTCCATGCCGTGCGACTTCTACCACATGGTATGTATTTATTTAATTCACAGTATTCCACTTTTACAGTATATTTATTATATGTGCAACTACTTTATACCTGCTATATTTCTTTAAAAAAGGTTATCAAACAATATTGCGCCATCCTTAAAGCGTAATGTCGTTATCTCGTTGATGGTCGGCTCTGGTAGTATTGGCGGTATAATTGCCACTCAAATTTATCGTTCGGTGGATTATCCAAATTATACTTTTGGGCATATTATTTCCTCATCTTGTTTATTTTTGGCTGTTTGTTTGAGCATAACACAATACGCAATATTAAAATTGAAAAACAAGAATATGAAAGTAAAAAGACATAAAATTAGAAAAGCTGTATCATGGAACCTTGAGTCGGGTAAATTTGATCATTTTTTGTAAATTGTAACGATAGTTTATTATAATTAAAGGTAATGAACCTCTTATTATTATATAATGATAACGAAAATAATATATAATTATGATCAGTGTTGGCATTCAAATTCAATTGGAATAAATGGGCTAATGGAATTTGGACTAAGTTCCAATTGATTCAATTCCAATTGAAAAAAATCGCCCAATAAAATTAGGCTTTTAATGCACGTGATATTGTCGGGAATTTTTTTTCGTGCCCCAAAATTCATGCCCTAAATCAATTACGTAATATTTGGCCAGCCAAATTGCTAGAAAGGTTATGGGCATGGAATTGGTGATTCTGGGGTACGAAAAGAATTTTCGGATAAAAATTGGATAAAATTAAAGTGAGCCAATAAATAACCTCTTTAAGAACAGCGATTAAAAGTTAATAAATCAATACTGTAATTTGTTGGATATAAAGGTTCACGTGACAAACATATAAAATTGAGGTTCATTTGTAAAGTCCATTATCAGGACACAGCACTGATTATATAATCAAGCTATACTGCAATACTGAATACCGAAATTAATTGAAAAGATATCCAACATATTTATTTTATTGAACCATAACAATTCATCAAGGGATGGGATCGGTTACGAACGGTTACGATTATTCATAGCAATTTGCTAAATACTGATGGTTTTTTATTTTTGAGCTTTTAATTAAAGTTGTTCAGAATTAAATTTTGTTCATCCCATCTTATAAAGTGAAAAGAACGATACCTTCTGAACAACTTTAATTAAAAGCTCAAAAATAAAAAATCATCTCAGTATTTAGCAAATTAGCTATGAATAATCGTAACCGTTCGTAACCGATCCCATCCCTAAGTGCTACAACCGCAAAATAAAAATAAAAAAAAAAGATGAAATTGTCTAATGATACTTCATCCTCTGAAACTTCAAACTTAGCAGCAATAAAATGTATTTGAAGCTTTAACGCTACGAGGAAGAGAGACAGCAATGAATAAAACTTTCATAATGACGTTCATGAACTTATATATTTCATATTTTTCATTTCGTGATTCATTATTTTAATCAAATTAATATTTAAGATTCTAAAGTTACAAGAAATGTGAATTATAATGAAATAAACCGTGTATATATCGGCAACAATAAATTCATTTCATGTTTGGAAACATCAAGAGATGCAACCCACTGTCAGATACTGAATTCTCGGAATGTCAGTGTAATGAATTTTGATAGTTATTTAAACTTTTCGAACCGTTCGATTCTCATCAGCTTATTAATCTATTCCAAAAAAAGAATATTTCTTTTATTAGAAGTTTGCAACTTGAGGACGTACGTAGGATCAGGTGTATAACAAGAAATCGATGCGATCATGATTTTTTCTTAATACAGAATTTTGTCTGTGAAACTTTGTCTTTTTTCGTCTTAGCAAAAATTCCATACGAGATTAATTATTGCCTTACCCGAATCTAACCTAACCTTGCAGTTTATCTTTATAGAAAGAAACTTTGATTTAATTAGAAGGTGACTGACAATAAATAATAATTTTATATATTTTTTTTAATTTACTTGTTTCAAGAAATTTTATTTTATAACTAGTCAGTGTTTTTTTTTTCTTAATATCCACGGGCAGTGTAGTATATAGTTCATTTTCGCTATAGTGGCTTGATTGTGCTAAAAAATTCTATCCATTATAATGAATATCATTATAGCATTATACGTATATCACAAGAATAAGATTCTTTCAATATATATATTAATTATTAACAATAAGCAATCATATTTTAATTAGCGCGCTGGATTGGTTGTTCATTCATGATCAGAGTACTTGAAACAAGTATCTGTCAATTTCATATTTACCATTAAATTAATATTGGAATCAGCTTAAAAAATTTTTTGATAATAATTGAATTCCTTATGTTCATTACCTTTATCAACTCCAGCTCCGTCTTTATAAAATGTCAGATATCCGACATTATACATTTATCTCAGAGGACTTTTGACAATGAACGAATGCCTTATTAATCTTGATAGCAAATATGCTGACAGAATCATCCATTTCAGCAGATTTTTGATCCATAATATCATGCATTTCTCAGTTGATTTTTTGAGAGTAAATGAATCCAATTTCATTTTGATAGCAGTTACAAAGTACAAATCTTCCATTTAGCATCACGATAAAAAAAACCATCTAAGAGAATTTAGGTGAGTTAAAGCAGCTTATCTAGTGCCGCCAGATGCTTTTCCTGAAAGAATTTTTGCCGCTAAGGCCCTTAGAACTATTTTATCCTTATAGTAAACTTACCAGAGCGGTCTATATTCCACACATGTATCACCTGGATTTTTCAATAACTTATTCCCAATCTGAAGACTGGTACTTGCAGCTTTTGTGGCCGCTACTATTACCTACTCCTTGCCCTTACAAGGTTCGTTCTGATCCTAATATCTACTTTCAACCCGTTCTTATACCTATCTCTCTCTAACTACTAAACCAGTTAGCCCGGAAGGGTTGTTATATCTAGGCTCTAAGTGTTTTCTGGTTTTACTTCCCTTGGTTCTGAACTCTGTAGCATCGAACTTTTTTTTTCGGTGTGACTCCGGCGGCCAGGTTGGTAGACCCTTCTTGCCCAGAGTTGTTCATCCAGTTTTTCGGTCTCCGGTTCTGATTTTCTGTAGTATCGTCGAAGATCTTCACTACTCCTAGCTCGGGTCTTGCCAAACGGGTTTCAAATATTCCAGTTTCTTGGATTTAGATTGCTTTAAAGCTTCCATTTCAAGATAGTAGTACCAAAGCTACAGGTGATATACCCAACCAATTATTAAATAAATGTTACCAGAACACAGGTCTATTTTTTGAAAAACATTTTTGGTGAGAGTCGAACTCTAGACCTGCCACTTGGAGGATGACAACTTAACCACTACTCTATGTTGCCACACCTCTAAATTTTAAAATATTAAAAGAATATATCAGAATATATAATATATTAAAATAAATATCTTTGTATTTAACTTTAATTTTGATCTTTGTTTATCTGTTTTTAATTAGTTTTGCTATTAAATTTAATTGATATATCAAAAAAATAACAAGTTCAAAATCTTAGATAAGCAACTCTTTCTGATATTTTTTGGTTAACAACAAAACAAATCTAACTATAATAAAAAGTTATAGAAAAATGACAAAATGAATACTACAATATTCTTTGTTTTATATATTGACAAACTTGCTATCAACAAAATTTTAATATATAAAATATTAAGAAGCAGATATATAACAACAAGCAGGTTCAAACAGATTGTGCTTTTAGATCAAACTTTAAATAAACTTCTTTGTACTTTTGATATTCAAACCAAAAAGATATTTTAGAAACAATGTTACTATAGGTCTTTATATGAGAATATTAAATAAAAACAAAAATGCTAAACTATATAAGAGACATAACAAAAATCAGGTAATTTTTTAGGGAGGAAAGAGTTAAAAAAAGTTAAAATAATATATAAGAACCTGATTTTTTTTTATATTAAAAGGGAGGGAGAGAATAAGTCTCTGATAAAAATAATCAGATGATAAATGACTACTCTAACTATAATTCTTACAAAAAGAATCTTATATACTCTTATTGACTTATCATTTTTTTCAAAGAAATTTTTGTAAAAAGTAAGTATTTTAGTTTATTCTTTTCAAAAGATCAATATTATGTATAAACATATCAAAGCACATATCTCAAATATAATAATCTGATTGAATAATATTCTGAAACTTGAATTGAGTATTAATCTCTCTACAGGATTCTAACTAACAAAATTTTTTCTACTAATTTTTAATTTTCATATACTATTTAAATAAATTTAGAGTAAGAACTAGTTTATCATATGGGCAGATTTTGGAAATTCAAATATATCACCTGAATTTGAATGTGATATTCGTGATATCTAAAAATAGATTAACCAATAAAATTATATAAACAAAGTCACGAGAATCTACATGACCAATCAGATCAATTAAAAAATTGAATTCACAAGTAATATTATTGATGTTTACAAGGCAATACATTACTACGACATTAACGTTTACATTACTACGACATATTTTGATTTATATATTATTAATTAAACAACATCGCTTATATTTATTTTCGTTTAAACCATATTATATCGATCTATCTAATGAATTCTAAA